CCCTCCGGGTGCCCCTCTCGGAGGTGGACCCTGCCGGGCCAGAAACCGGGCTCCTTCTGCGTCCCCTCCTGTCATGTTTTGGTCCTTTTGCCCTTTACGGTTTATAATGAAGATGAAGTAAGGTGGCTGTTGCTGTTGCTGCTCTTCGTGGACCCTGCAGAAATATTCAATTTATCTTGGCTTATAGGAAATTAAGACTGCTTTAGAAAGACATCATCACTATCTCTGCCGCCCTTGGGACCCATCTGCACATTGTCAGGATCTCTCTGTCCCTGACTGCTGGTTTTGGTTTTTTGGGGGGAGGGTGGTGGTGGTTGGTTTTTTTTATTGTGGTTTGATTTTTGGTTTGTTTTTGTTTTTTTTTTTCCTTTTGAGGAGGGAGGGGAAGGTGCCAGTGGATATATATGACAGAAGCAGGATCTTTTGGACACTCTTCACTTAGAATTGATAGTTGCACTTACACTGGTAATCTGTGTCTCTGCTGAATCATCTCACATTAAGGGAGAGACTTTTAAGTCCCCTTTCACTCCTTCCCCTGTCCCCCCTGCTCATTTTTCTCAGCACAACAGCAGGGAGGTTAGCAACCCTCGTCTGAATGTAGAATAGCCTGGCAGCCGGGACCCTGGACATCGCGTGTCTTTCCTCTCACTCTCTGTGACAGTTGCAAACACATTTATGGCTGTCCAGATTCAAGGAGTATCTTGCGTTTCTCTGTGTTCGTGGCAGTGAAATGTTTTCCTTACAGTGTCATCCCCTCGGTTGCTTTATTTTTCCATTCTCTTATTTGTTCATGTGTTTGTTTGTCTTTTAAGTTTGACCACATTTGAAGTGTCTGACTTCAGGCCCTTTAAAACACACTTTTACCGCAATATTGAGCATCCCTTGAACTATGCAAAATTCCTAAAATTGCAGATGTCGTGAGGAGAGGGCATGGAAAGAACTGCCTGGATGTCAGAAAGGGGAACAGAGAGAGAAGGAGAGAGGAAAAAAACCCCAAGAAACTAGCCAGACATCAAATGACAGATTTCAGCATTTTCCTGTTGTAAATGCTGGCATTACATGTTACAGTAATTATATGCTCTGGGCTACTGTTACAGTGTTTGTCTGCTGGATAGTAACCTGAACTTATGAAGTGAATACAGTTGTTTTTGGATAATAGTAATATTTATAGCCAAGATTATTCTCAGCAGATGTCCTATGCATATAGGCTTTATTAAATATGCTTTCAACTTTCAGGCCTGCAATGTTAAAGCCTATGTACATTGTGAAGATAATTTTTCTCTTTAAAATTAGATGTATTAAGCAAAGATCAGAACTAAAATCTAGAGTGAATAAAGGCCATCAAAAGTGTTATGAAAAAGATGAGATTGTATTTTAGCTGTATGTAGAAGCAAAGAAAATGAGTACCTACTATCAAAATTGCATTACAGTTATTAAGTGCATATTTTGACTTGTCAGAATATGATACTTTTGTGTTTTATTACCTTTAAATCTTCTGTTTCTTTTATCTTAAAGTCTGACAGCCAGGATCTAAATATCTAAACATTAACCTGTGTAAATATGTGAATTATGTTAAATATAATGTTGTAGCTGTACCATAGGAAAAATTGTTCTCTAAGAATGAGCAATTTTTGTATTTTAATTTTAGGACTCAAACTATGCATTATTTCAGTTACTTCAATAGCAGGCTAGGTGTTGTGTTTTTATATAAATTTATATATATAAATATATTTATAAAATATTCTTTCCCATGATAAAATTCAAAATGTAGCTTAAGCTGATTAAGAGAGACGTAGTCCCATATCTATTACTTGCTATTTCTTTTAGCATTCAAACGTTTTGAAGGGATGCCATACTTCTAGATTTCCTTTTCAGTATAGCTTCATAAATTAGACAAAAAAGATTTAATTCCTCCTGAAATTAGTTGAATTCTGTCAATAATGCCAGAAAAGATTAGTTCTTCCACTCCACTGTGTACTGTTTGATAGAATTAGATCTTGGTAAGGCTTTTGCAGAATAGGAGTAAATTTATTTTCTTACATGCAGCTATAACTAGAACACTTAAGGGCCTTTTTAAAAAGCGTCCTTTTCAACATAACCCTGTTGGCATTGATGTTTCTTTACTTTGCCTTTGCTGTCTCTTTCTGTAAGTATGTGCAGGGAGATGAACTTTGTTTAATCCACTGAATGAGCATGGTTGAATCTGAGCCTGCAATCTCATTATTCTCCCTTGAGAGAGTATTAAAACATATAATAGTCAAGGTGAATGGTTTTGTTCTTAATTGTGATGGTGTCTGTACATAGGTAAGAGGAAAAGCAAGTCAAAGTTCACAGCAATTTAAAACTCTTTGTGTATGAAAGAGCAAATTCTTGATTCAGACAGATTTGATCAGAAAACCACCCAGATATATGGGGATTGTGTGGGTGTAAGCAAGTAACGTTTGGGCCTGTGTGCTTTGAAGGTGGTTCTTTTATTAAAATCTCTAGAGGAGGATATATAAAATATGTATCTAAACTACAGGTTTGGAGTTAAAGGAAAGACCTCCTGGGTTTGGGGTTTGGTTTGGTTTTTTGGTTTGGTTTTGTTTTGTTTTTTTTTTAATTTTCTAACACTCATTGCCACCACATATGCTAATTCAGTAAGAGTTTTTCATGGACATCTGCCTTTCATTAGAACAGTTTGAGAAGTCATGACAGCTGTAACAGTGGGCTTGTAAGTCCTCATCTGTCGGCATATTATTAAACTATTTAAAATGAAGAAAGAAATGAAAATAGCTAACTAGTATCAGAAGCGTGCAAATAAAGCATTAACTTGACTTCAGAAATATACTGAGATTTCTTGTCGCTCGTGTTCTCTGACAGCTTTGTTGCCTCATGTTGCCTGAACAGAATTTGTCAGGAAAAAACTTCCTTATATCCTCTACCAGTGTGCTTACCACTCTAGAAGTGTACCGTTTTAGTAAATACAAACAGTCCTGTGTTAGTGCCTTTTGGTTCTGTGAACGTTTCCATTGAGCATGCCAAGATGTGGATTTTGTAATGTGGAAACCCACATTATAGGCTTGGAGTGAGCCCACAGATTTATTTCATGTGGGATAACAGAAAGTCTTAAGATAGTAATAGCTCTCGGTTTTTAACAAACTATGCTAGATTTCAACTGGTGACATGGTGATGAGATAGCTAACTCATGATATTGCCAAGCAGCTGAAAAAATCATTCCCAGTGAATGGTATTGTACTTGCAGAATTATGTGCCCTGCTTAACTACAGTAACTTATGTTTTTCATATCTATAAGGGTTTATTATTTATTTGGTATGGGGTTTAAAATGACCAACTCCTGAATGATTGTTAAGGTGCTTATGGCAAAACTCTTCAGTACTAAGATTACTGAAGTACTGTAAGCATTATGTATTAAGACAAAGACATAAATCTCATGTATTATTTCCTTAAGGCATGTGAGAAATACTATTGGACAGTTTCTTCTGAAAAAGCTAACTTTTGTTGTTTGTTTTTTTGTTCAGTGCAGCATCTGCCATGTCTACAGAGGGGCAGAGAGTTGATGATAGTCCAAGCACCAGTGGAGGCAGCTCTGATGGAGATCAGCGTGAAGGTGTCCAGCAGGAGCAAGAAAGGGAGCAAGTTCAACCCAAGAAAAAAGAGGGCAAAATATCAAGCAAAACAGCTGCTAAACTGTCAACGAGTGCTAAAAGGTGCAGTGTTCCTTCTGGCTGTCTATTTTCCTTTCTGTTTTTTTCAGCTGACCGTCAGATGTATGTGTTGACTCAGTATATTAATTTTCTTATTGTTTTATTATAACACTACTATGTCAGCGTAATAGCCTTTTGAGACTGGTCACAATAATGAGACCTGTATACTTTTTTCCTTTCTTTGACAGATTGGCTCTTTCACATGGCTTTAATAGTAGCTTGCATGATAAAAGCTGACATTTTTTTATTGCTAGTAAAACTCAGACAGTTTTGTAGCCTTATAAAATATATCTCTGTATGTGTATGTATGACTGATGTTGAAACTTGTCAGTGTAACTTACAGTTAATTAACCATAAACATTTCAGACAGTTCAGTAACTCAGCATGTTAGGACTATTGTAATACCTATTGCTGTAAAGTACTGCATTTCCTTTTCCCAGATGGTCAGGTCAGAAATATTTGAGTGAACAACAAATGCATGTTGGTTTCATTACTTTAAACTGTGGTCTGTTTTAATACCCATTTCTTTTCCTTCTCTTTTCTGCTTGAGAGGAAAGGTGGGTTTGTAGAATAACTACTTAAATTATTCTATGCTCTCATGTCAATCTCCAGATAACGATCGTCTTGCTTGGACCAGACAGAAGGAATTTACAGCTTAGTGTTGCTCCATTAGTACACATAGGGGTGTTAGTCTAGGCAACAGAAATCAAATGGGATTATAGTGATTGAAGTTAAAAAACACTTTTAAAATAATCTGACGAGAGACCAATTCTGCAGACTGTCCTGATGCAGAATTCCCAGATCCTGTTTCTTTTCTAATTCAAGGCTGTGTAAACTACAAGAAAAATCATTGAAGTTGTACTGCTCTGGTGCTGTGGTAAAGCAGAAGCATCAAGGCCCTATTGCCATCATTTATAACATATGCATGATGGGTATGTTATGCATGTAGGAGTCCATAGATACCGGTAGATAAACATGTGTGTACATCTCTTCAGGATTAGTCTTCATCTTGGCTTAATCTGTCCCTTACCATTTCCATACTTTTCTGAACTGAAGTCTTTTCCGTCTTTCCAGTGAGGTACTGTCATGCTTTTCTTCTGCCGTAGACACCTTTCTTAGAGCTAGCCTTTCTTTTTTTTCTTCTCTGGTGAATTCCTGCTATGATACTATTAGGAGATACCTAGTCATATCACTTACAGGATGGCCAGCAAAATTTGCCCATGTTTCCTTTTATGACTCAAAGGGAAAAAAAAGAAAAAGCAGCTTTCACTTCAAACCATGATGTTATTCATGTAGTTAATCCTCACAGCCATTACGGTTTCTGGCCGCCTTCTCTTTTGTCTGCTTTCTGCTATTGTTATTTTTTTTTAAATATTAGGAATCCTGAACTAGTCATGACTTTTAAGGTCATAAAAACCAGTTTTTAATATCTTTAGAAAAGAGTCTGTGTATTCTGAACTTTGTACAATGCTTAATGTAATAATGCCACAATCCTGACAAGGGCCTGTGGACACTATTCTATTAAAAAATTAATAATGATATGTCAGAAATTGGTCTATTAATCTTAGCTTTGTATCTTCAAAGCTTAGAGCTTTTATCAACATGCATTTCACAGTGATAAAATTACTTAAACCTTTTAAAGTTTAATCATATCTGCTTATGGTTCTGCTGAAACTAATTATGCCAGTTGCTGACATCAGTACGTTTGCCACTTAGACTGTAAAGCCAGTTTCACATGTGTACTAATATTGAAGGAAAGCCTTTGATTTTAAAAGCTGAGATGATTTATAAGAGTTCTGTAGATATGTGCACAATAAATAATATTTTTGAAAAAAATTATTTTAGGAGTGCTGGTTGTTATAGCACTTTGTGGAAGGATCACAGCAACATAGTTTTTATAGTAACAGGAATTTTTAATAGTATCATAGTAATTTTTTTTAATTTTTTTTTTTAGTATTCAGTAGTTTGTCACTGTGTTAGAATTGGGATTACATTTCTATAAGAATTCTCAATCTGGGCAGGTTTTCTTATTACAGGTTTTGTTTCTTTGCTTTTTCATTAAAATCAGTAATGCCTCAAGAAAGGAAAATCAGAAATTAAAATAGAGGGTAAAAAGAAGAGGAGTAACATGAAGGAAAATGGCATAGAGTCCTCAGTGTGTGATAAGTATTGCAGAAACTATAAAATATCTTCATAGTAATGTTACTTTTGTTCATTTGAAATGAAAAAATAGCACAGGGATAAGGCTATACTCCTTCAATGGGAATGTTGTTCTTGACCAGGTTAAAAAAGTGATCTTTTAAAAATTGAAAAAAATCTTTTGCGATTTATTGTTTCCTATTTTCCCTGCCCATGGCAGGGGGATTGGAACTAGATGATCTTTGAGGTCCCTTCCAACATAAACCTATGATTCTATGAAATAAATTGAAGTAATTCAGCTGCCCTAGTGAAAAAAAGACTGAATATATGCTTAGCAACTTTTTCCTTTTCTAGTTTTTGGATTCTGTGTGTTTGTATGGCATTACTCTAAAGTCACAATAATCTTAAGTGTTTCACTATGCAATTCCCTCTAATAACTTCATTACGGTTAAAGGAGTCAACTCTGCTAAAATCAGTAGAAACCCCAAACAACAGAGTGTACTGTAGTTGCGGCTTCGGTCAAGATTCCTTAATTCCTGCAAGTTAACGTAGAGCTGGAGCTAAAGTCACAGACTACAGACTTGATTCTAACCTGAGTTCGGAAGTCACGTTTTCTCACTTGGAAAGCTTTTTCATGCATATGGAATTGTTGTAGTCATGGTATTTTTGGATTACATTATGATACCTACCGTATATCTTGGATTAGAATGAAGATTTGTGCATCTGTATTTGGAATACTTCTGCTTTTTATTTGTATGTTTATGTAGTCAGATTTAAAAGAATTTTCAGTAGCATTAGGTTTTATATAAATCAAGATTTAGTAGTGTGCTGACTTTCGCTTGTGTAAAAGTAAACTGCTACCATGTCTTATGTATGAATGTACTACTCCCGCAGCTTACTGCTTTCTAAAATGATCTGATTATGGAGGCTCTATGAAACCACTTGAATTCATATTTGAGTAAGATTTTTGGTTTTAAGATATGGAGTTTCTTCTGTTAGCATTGCTGTAGATGGCATCAAGAAGGCAGAATGCCATCACACGCTGTCCTTCTCTGTTAATACTTTTAGGACTAGCTGCTATACAGGTGTAATAGCTTACAGCATATGTCATACAGTGTACCGGTCCTTCAATTTTCCTCACCCAGAGGGCATCTCCTTAAATAGCAACCTTTCTTACCTAACATGTCAAGATTGAGAAACTTGCTGCATATCACAATTACAGTTCAGACACGGAATTGAATTGCTGTCCTTGAAAACAGCAGGCATCTTGTTACCTCTTAAGTAGCAAATCTTAGCATGACCTTTGGATTGAGAGAAGTGTAACCATTCTTGGCTGACATAGTAGCTCAACAAATAAATGTATTGTTTTGCTTGGCTCCTGAAGTTGATGATAGTTGAAAATCTGTCAACCTTTGTGTCCAGTCCTGGAATTTTTTTATGAATATCTGTGCCTACAATGGATTGTGAACTTTAAAACTGTAGTTGTAATTTTTTCTTTTCTTGATTGAAAGAAGTTGCAACCTTAAGGAGCAGCAAATAGATGATAGAGTAAATTTGTTTGAAATTGAAGACAATAAAAATGAACTGCTTTTTTTTTTTTCCCCTCCCTCTGTCTTGTTTTCCTCAGAGAAGTTTATCACAGCACTATTTTCAAGGAATCTGAGAACAATACTTAGCATGTTGAATATGACAGCAAAATATGCAGTGCTTTTTCTTATAAGAAATATCCTTGTCATTTATTGCACATCTAGTACGGAGACAAGAATATTTCTTCAGCATGAATCTAACCATCTTTAGATCAGTTTCCTACTCAGTCACAGTTTATGTAAGATTGAAATAAATACCAGGGATTGCATTTCTTAGGATTTTCTAAATAGTATATCCTTCAGTATGGAGCATTGGTTCACCTGGCTTTTATGGGTAAAGAGGCACGTATTTTAGAAAAGTAGACGTGGTAAAAATAGCTCGTTGTCACATAGTCCTTTATTTTGATTATTTTCCTATTAACCATATTGGGAAATCCTCTGACATGTTCAGTTCTCTCTTCGCTTTAGAGAACTTTAACTGTTTCATGAAGCAAACAACACACAGTCCCCCTAGGCTTGGAACAGTAGTAAATATGTGTCTGTGAGAATTAATATTTGAAATCTACAATGTACTTTCATGTTTCTGAATTTATGGGTAGATTAACCTTTGCACTTTACTGGAAGGCAACTTTGTGTGTTCTTTTCTGTTAGTAAAATGGAGGGGAAAAATATGTATATATATACACATGAGAGAGGCAGCGAGGTCAAATGACTTCTTTAAGACCAGACAAAGAGTATCAGATCTGACATTGCAAATTAAATGTCCTATGTGTACAGCCCAGGGCTTTGATTACTAGCAACGACTTCTCCCCTGCCATCACCCCACTCCCCAATATATAGTATGTCATTAGTTTAAATATAACTGAATATATATAATGATTTTAATTTAGAGTCCTTCTTCCTCTCCAACGTAGCTAAACATAACTGTATCGAGGCATAAAATCCAAAGAAAGAGATCCCAGAAAGGACCCTGCAAAAAATGCTTTGTTGCCAGAGGCCACATACTCTCACGGTGAACCCTCTGTGGTCAGCAAAGGAAATGAGGCACATCCTCTCCTATGCCAGATTCTGAGGGCATCTCAATGGAGATATGAAACAAGTGCTAGAGCAGTGGAATAACTCATGCAGACAAAGGCCAGCTTGCACACTGGAGGTCTCTATCAGTGCAGGGCTCTCTGGGATGTTGTCTGACAATTTAATTGTAACTTTGAATGCTGTGACATGTGAACAAGCTATTGCGTGTCAGCTGCTCTGCAGAAACCGTTTATGAATGTGCTCTCAGCATGAATGCAAGGTAAATTAAGGTTGCAACAAAAGAGTTGTAAAGTGTATATATTAATTTTAGTTTGGGATGCCACAGAGTAGGAGAATAAATATGGACAACTTGCTGAGGAGCAATTGATGGACAGTATCATATTAATATGTTGTATCTTATTTGTATAAAAATAATAATGAATGAAACATCTCTTTATCTTAGATGCTTGCAAAAGCAATTAGGACTTTTGAACATAAATAGAAACTACCATCTGATCAATTTTTATTACTTCAAGCAGAAAGGTGTTTTGTTCTTGTTTGCTCAATCACAGGAAAAGCTTGAAAAAGGACCATTTTGGTGCTCTTGGTGTTAGAAGTTAGAAATTTTGGGTTGAACTAGAATAGAGGGAGAAAAGGAGAGAACTCTGTACCTTTTTGTTTTCAGAATACAAGGGACGTGGGTTAGGATTTAGGAGGAAGAATATAAGGTTTTTGATCTAGGACTCAGGATGCACTTGTCAATCCATTCCTGATTTGTCTTACGCTCACTGTAATGCAATGAAATATTAACTACCCTTACTATAATGTGTAAAGCAAAGGAATAATCCCTGACTCTATAGAAGTTCAATGCCATCATTCTGTAACTTCCCAAGAGGCAGAAAAAGCAAAACAACCCATTAAACATGAAATTGAATATTCTATGCTACCTAGGTTTACCGTGATTTGAATTTGTGATTGATAGTATAAATTTCAAAAACACAGTAGAAACTTGTCATATACAGAGGAAATATTTTAAGCATCTCCCACACTAGTAAGATCTCCCTTCTAAAAGGTGTGAACTGTTAGGATTGTTTAAATGGAGTAACTTTTTAAAAACAACATGTTTGTTGTGCTTAGACTTCACTAATGAGATTTTCCCTTTTAAAAATGTGGTGGATTTTCAGTGTTACTACAATGATTTGCTACAAATACTGATTAAGCAGCCTGTGCCTGCATTTTTACAAGAAAAGAATGATATTTATTGTGGAAATTCTATGTACTGGACATGTAAATATTTCAATGAGTAGAAAAAGCAAATAAACATTTAATTTCTCCCCCTCTACAGGAGTTACTAGTATGTCTGTATGTTGGGTTGGGGTGCATAGAGGTTAGAAGAAAAGCTAAGCATCTGAAAGTAGAGTGTTTTTATCTTTTCAGTGATATCAGCTGTTCTAGTAAATTATTATTACCTCTACCTACAAATCTTGCCCACCTGTGTCCTAATTATTTCAGAATGTGAATGATAAAGGATTGGAGTTTCCGGTTCAGGCCAGTTCCTCTACTGCCTTTGGTTCATTTACTCGTTATAGCCATAAAATCAACTCATAGTGGCATAAGGGGAATTTTGATAGTGGCTGTGAGACTCCTTAGCATGTAAGATTGTGTTTGGATCTTAACATTATATAGAGGATTAAACTGCTCATTTTTATGTTATATATGCCAATATACTTGAATGTAGATTTTGATAAACCATTTTCTTTGCCTGTGTTTATGTGCAAAATGGGTGGCAGTCATTTTTAACGCGATAGGTGTGTACCTCAGGTCAGGTCTGAACTGTTGGGTTATGGCTTGAGCATGTATCTCAGGAATTTGAGTGGTATTATTGTGCAGGTTTTCTTTTTGTAGGGAATAACAGGAATAGCAATCTGCTCCTGTACATGAAATCCTGTGAAGGAGAAGGGAAGAAGAAAATACTGAGGGTACACTGAATTGTTTTTGTTTTCCTTCCCCCTTCTAAATGTTCATTTTTTTGCACTGAAGTAGCCTATAAAAAAGCCTTGGGCATAGTGTATAGGGAAGGTGTCCATTGCAGTCCTGCTTATGGCATCATACTCTGGCAAGTCTTTGAGAAATGTAAACTCCCACAAGTTCCTTTGGGAACTCTGTAAACTCCTACTCTGTGTGTTAAAATTTCTTCAGACGGGGATATACTGGCTCTCATGCAGATGCTGGTATAGTGGAAAAGGGGCCTGTATTGCCAGATGTGCCAGAGATCAGGAATTCAAGGACTTGGCATCAGAACGTCAGCCTGGGAATATCCAGAAATCCTTAACAACGAAGTTGTTCTGCCTGTAGGAAGACCTCCAGCGGGATGCCCATAAGCAGCGCAGTACCTCCGGGACCTGTACTGGCCCTGCCCAGCTTCAGGTCCTTATCAGAGACCTGGAGGATATGGCAGAGTGTACTCTCAACTTTGCAGATGACAACAAGTTGCGGGGGGGCAGTTGGTGTAGGCAGGGGCAGGGCTCCTGCTCAGAGGCACCTCGGCAGGCTGCAAGAGAGGGTTGGCAGGGAACTCGTGACATTCAATGAGGACAAATGTAACATCATGCATGTGGGAAGGACTAACCCCTTGTAACAATACCCGCTGGGGAGCAGCTCTACTGAGAAGGATGTGGGGGCCCCGGCAGGCAGCAATGAAGGCTAACTGCCTCCTGGGCTGTATTCACAGGAGCATCGTCAGCAGGTGGAGGAAAGTGATTTATCTCTCTTTGCTCAGCTCTCATTAGACTGCATCTGGAGTAATGAGTACACAGTTTTGGGCCCCCCAGTACAAAGAAGGCACGCATTGGAGCAAGTCCCGTGGCAGGTCCCCGGCCTGGCCAGGGAGCTGGAGCACTTCCCTTTGAGGATAGGCTTCAGGGGGGACCTGATAGCAGGCCCCCAGTACCAAGGAGGAGCTTACGGAGAAGTCTGGGATGGATTCTTTCTGGGAGCGTGAGACACAACTGTCCGATGAAGTTGGGGTTTTTGCCATGCCAGTACGAGATACATTAAGAAGCTAAATATTCTGGAGAGCAAGACCTATGAGGCATATAGGCAGAGCGGAAATGGAGAGTATACGAGACAATTATTGTGTAAGTGAGCAAAAGAGCTGAGAACCCCAACCTATAGAAAAAGTGGGATTTTCTAGGTGGCTGCTCATGGCATAACTTGTCCCAGATTGGAGACTTGTTTTTCAGAAAAGATGTGATTTTTAGTTCAACATTTACTTGAACAGTTTCATGAAACCTTATAGCATCAACTTTCCATGCGAATTTATAAGTATTATATTTTTTTATTATTATTGATTGCTGTAGAAATGTTCATAAGGTTGAAAGAAATATATTGCAAAAAAGTCCTGATAATATTTTTTTTTCTCTTAAGAATTCAGAAAGAACTTGCAGAAATTACATTAGACCCTCCTCCAAACTGTAGGTAAGTTCACCTGGATTTTATTAATTTGGAATATGGAAATGGAATATATGGAATTATGGAGATTGCATAGGGGACTGGGGTAAATTTTAGCTATTCCTTTTTGCTGATTATTTAGTAATTTTGGAATAAAAGCTGATAGATAACATGTTTGCCTACGTACAAGTAATTGATATGACATACTTCCTGATAACTAAAGTAATACTGAAAACTGATGAGCTCTACCATGCGTTAATAGATACAGGGTAAAAATCAAATCACCCTTCATTTGAGGTGTTAAATCAATAGCATTTTGTTTGATTCTATAAAATGTAATCTTGGTGGTACTTGCTGGTATGTTTGATTCCTTTTTCTTGCAAATTGTTAACACACTGTGAATATAATGGAGAAGGAAAAATGTTATAGGCACAAGCTGTTATTAATCTTCCAACTGTGTTTATAGCGATCAATTACGATATTCAGTGGAAACTTCCTGAAATAAAGTATATCATCGCATAGCCTTTGTAATAATGACTTTGCGCTTGCTTCTTGTTGTTGTTGTTGTTGTCAGGTATGCTTACTTTCGGTATGTTTAAAATTGGCTTTGAAATGAGTAATGAGGTAGGCCTAGAAACCCTCGCTGCCTGGTGTCCGGGGCAGTATATAGTTGTTTTCAGATGGCTGTCTCAGGCTTCTTATCTGTCAGCTTGACATATGGTCAGTGTTGGAGCTGGTCCAGGGCTGCACAGCGCTGCTTAAAGGAGCCCCTGCCACCGCACCTCTCACAGCGAGAGGTCGGTCTCGGTGCAGAGAAATAGCTTCCACCCAGTCCTGCCAACCCATTTCAACTGATGTGGTTAGTAGGATTCATTCTATTAGTGCAGTAAAGAGAAAGATTGATAGAAATGTCTGATTGCATGCAGCTTTTGTAATGAATCCCAGTACGTTTCAGTATCGAATTAACTAAGCAACTGGTAGTAAAAATGACAGTCAGCTTTATTGTTTTGGTCTCTTGACAAAAGTATGTGTGAGAAAATATTCTAACAAGATTTGATGTGGTTGTGCTGGATCTCAAGATATAAGTCAAGTGGCTATGTACTAAAGAGCTGCCTAGTGAAGTAGCCTTGCAATAATAGCGTTCAAAGAGTATTTCAGTCAATTAGGATGAACAGTTCTTTGCTAGATAAAACATTTTAATAGCTAAGCTGTTCTGTCATACTTACGACTGTGTGTGAGTCTTCAATCACATCAAAGCTGTTTCAAATGGCAGATCTTTACTTAGGTGTTGATGACTGATGCCTATTAGTGGATTGATTTCCTGAGATGAATATAAAACTTCAGTCTGTTGTAGAAGAATGCATAAGTCTTTGAACTCAGCCTAAAAGGCTTATAGTTTTTACAGCACTGTCATTTGTTCTAGTTTTCTGCATCCTTCCCTTTGTAACAAAGCAGTTGTTTCAGTATACAAGGTACTGTTATTTGATTTTCTTTTGCTAGCAAGTGTAAAGTGAGCATTGGCTGTCTTAGTGCAAAGCCCTTTGGTGACTTGCAGCTTAAAAAAAAAAAAAAGTGAGCTGGAGATTTCCTCGGGTTTTTTTTTTTAATTATTTACGCTAATGATAAAATAACAATAAAGTGCACTGTGTGATGCTGTTTTGCAAAATCAAAAAATTACATCTAACTTCATGTGTCTGCTGCTTTAACATGGTTCTTAAGATGCAAAATTATTTCATGTTGTGATCTTGATAGATAAGCATTAGTAACTTTACTATTAGCAAATATGTTTTTATAGTCAATACAGAATCACTTCATTTAGTTTTATGCTCTGTTGACGTAGTCTAAACAGTGTTTTCATTTGAACTTCATCTATTTTCTATTATAGTTAAACATTACAAAATAAATACATCAGCCAGACATGATTCTTCAGCATCATGAAGAAAGCCAAGCTATAGTAGAGTATATCTCACCCTAAAGTATTGATACATCCCTTCTTGTTTTTAGTGAAATTTAGATGTTATAAGAGGTGTTAGATTTTCTATGAAAAAAACATATTTCATAAAGGTAAGTTCTTTACAGGTGTAGGCTACTTGAACTGGTTGTGATTCCAGATTACCTTCACTATACATCCTCTTTTTTATATAAAATAAATCATGATTGGGCAATAGGAATGCGATAAATCTCAAAACTAAGCGCCACAGAAGACATTAAGAAAAGCTGTATTATTCAAGAATGCTCTCTAACTAGTTATTTAGGAACTTCTGATAGACAAGATATTGAGCTGAATTGGAATTTGGGTGGAATATTGCAAGATGTGTTGCAAGACTTTCCATTAACTACAGCAGGCCAAAACTTCAGGTTTGTTTCATTCAGGAAAAAACCCAAAATGGAACACTATCTGTAGTATGGTAGCATCCCTTAATGGCATGCTAGGCTACACAGTCAGTACAAGCTCCAAGGGAGTTGCAGCTTCCACTTCTGCAGCAGCTGCAATCTTAATGCTTCCCCCACCTCGTCCCCACAAAGAGAATAGGCTGTATAATCTTCTTGTTTGTCTGGAAGACAAAAAAAGTCTTGCTAACACATGTGCCTTGTAATTGGCAGATTATCACTGCTGCGACTTGCAGCATCTTTTCAAAACTGTGGAAAGCTGTGGATTTCAGAGTTCCTAAAAAATCTGTCACATTTGGCTTTGAAAGAAGATTTAATGTTACAAGAAATCAAAGTTGCCTGCCTCCATAGGTAATGTTGTATTTCATGTTCTGTAGTTTGGGTTCTGAGCGATGGAAAGAGTCCTCTTGACTCCCCAAACTTCAGATCATTCCTCAGGACTGAGAATGTATAATGTTCTAAGTGTCAAAAAGTCAAGCTGAGGGACATGTGGGAGTTGAGCAGTGTATCATTGCTATTTTTGGAGGAAGGCATGTCATAAAAAAGCCTGTTATACTTCACATTTAACAGAAAGAACTAGATGGTTCTTGGTTTGTGTTGTGTCCCATCCCTCCCCCATTCTCCCTTACTTTTGTACAGAGCTGAATTTGCTGTCAAGGAGAGTCAAGCAGGTACATTTGTATTTTAAATCTGCAGCATTGTGAAATTTTAGTTTGTCAGGAGACAGTATACCTAAATTGTAGACATTTGCCACTCTTCTTTTTTCCCCCCGTTGTCATTGAAATACCAAAGCTTGATTGCTAAAAATGTTGTGCATATTATACCTCTGAGTAGTGCAGAGTATACTTTTTCTCACGGGCAATAAAACCCTCATCTTTAAGTATCATTTTCATGTATTTCCTTGCTGGAAGAGGGGAATAGTCAGGAATTCTTGTAGCAAAAATAATCTCTTTTCAAACTTTCCGTATTTTGGACTGCATCTTGTGCAAGACAATAGATTTCGTAGAATACAACTTCTACTGTCAGCATTGTATACTATTTCCCTTCTCACTGGCAAGAGAGCAACATCTCTGTGGCAACTTATACCATTTGCTTACATGGGAAAATAGTATTTGGAAAGTATTTAATGTATTTTTAGCTTCTTTCAATGTGAACTTAGCAGCTGGAAACAAGGAGAGCCAGCACAAAGCGAATAGAAGCTCTCTGTGGATACCACTTGGAGCAACTGCTCAAAATTTTGCTATTAAGTCACTGTTGTTCCCTGTCTTCCTCTTCGTGTTTTCTTTTGATGTTGTCTAGCATATTTATCACCATTCTTTTCTGTGTATTTACTGCAATTCCTTTTATGTGTATACATAGAGGACCCTACGAGGAGAGGTGCTATCCTGGACCTCGTTCTTACCAACAAGGAGGGGCTGGTGGGGAATGTGAAACTTGAGGACAGCCTTGGCTGCAGTGACCATGAAATGGTGGAGTTCCAGATTCTTAGGGCAGTGAGGAGGGTGCACAGCAAACTCACTACCCTGAACTTCAGGACAGCAGACTTTGACCTCTTCAGGGATCTGCTTGGTAGAGAGATCCCTTTGCCGTGGAGGGAAGAGAGGCCCAAGAAAGCTGGTTAGTATTCAAGGGTGACCTCCTCCAAGCTCAGGAGCAATGCATCCCAACAAAGAGGAAGTCAGGCAAAAACACTAAGAGGCCCACATGGATGAACAAAGAGCTCCTGGGCAAACTGAAACACAAAAGGAAGCCTACAGAGGGTGGAAGCAAGGGCAGGTAGCCTGGGAAGAATACAGAGAAACTGTTCGAGCCGCCAGGGGGCAGGTTAGGAAAGCCAAAGCCCTGATAGAATTAAATCTGGCCAGGGATTTCAAGGGCAACAAGAAAAGCTTCTGTAGGTGTGTCAGTGACAAAAGGAAGACCAGGGAAAATGTGGGCCCTCTCCAGAAGGAAATAGGAGACCTAGTTACCTGGGATACAGAGAAGGCTGAGGTATTCAACAACTTTTTTGCCTCAGTCTTCACCGGCAAGTGCTTCAGCCACACCATCCCAGTCACAGAAGGCAAAGGCAGGGACTGGGAGAATGCAGAACCGCCCACTGTAGGAGAAGATCAGGTTCAAGAATGTCTAAGGAACCTGAAGGTGCACAAGTCCGTAGGATCTGATAAGATGCATCTGCGGGTCCCAAGGGAACTGGCCAAGCCACTCCCCATCATATTTGAGAAGTCATGACAGTCCGGTGAAGTTCCCACTGTCTGGGGAAGGGGAAACATACCCCCCATTTTTAAAAAGGAAAAAAGGGAAGACCTGGGGAACTACAGGCCGGTCAGTGTCGTCTCTGTACCTGGCAAGATCATGGAACAGATCCTCCTGGAGACTATGCTCAGGCACACGGAAAATAAGGAGGTGGCCGGTGACAGCTAACATGGCTTCACTAAGGGCAAATCGTGCCTGACAAACTTGATGGCCTTCTATGATGGGGTTACAGCAACAGACGTCATCTAGCTGGACTTGTGCAAGGCATTTGACACTGTCCCACACAACATCCTTGTGTCTAAATTGGAGAGACATGGATTTGACAGATGGACTACTCTGTTGATAAGGAATTGGCTGGATGGTTGTACTCAAAGAGTTGC